AATAGCGGTGCAAAGGGAATATGGGAGATTGCCACCACAGCTCTGGCCCAGAGCCTTTAGTGCTGTGGAGTAGCAAGACATTGAGGATGGGTGAAGCTTCACAGCTTGCAGTGGCCAGGAGTAGCTCCCCTAGTCCCTGACAAAAGCTGTCCCCATGCAGCCTTGACTGACCGTAAACTAAAGGTGATGTTCACTCGAGGTGGTTAGATGGTTTAGAGGGAAGGAAATCAGCTCTAAGAATAGTCTGTGGGGGTTTGATGATTCAGAAGAAATGTTGCTCAGGCCTTGAAGGCAAAAAAGGTGGTGGTGACGCAGCTATGTGGGCAGACTGTCCGTGCTTGTCTTTCTGTGGCAGGAAGGAGGACTGTCTGGTTTGTGTCTGTGGGGACCTTAGGTGGGGTGGATAAAACATTGAGATGTGGAGCAAGAGGGAAATATGTCCTTTTTAATCTCCTGAGGCATGGTGGCTTGTCAGCAAAGCTCTGACTGTAGAGAGCACGAGATTGGGTGGTGAAAATGGTCCTTTCTCCCATCTTGCTCACACTGGAGTGTGAAGAGAACTTTGGAGCTTTTACATTTATATGAAAAAGGAAACAGAAATTCAGAAATCCCTAAGGACCAAATTCCCTGGGAAATTCTGGGGTGAGTTGGGGTTTTAGGAATGAAATCAGTAGTTATGTTTAGGGTCTTTTCTAAAAGCTGGTGAAGTTTGGTGTGCTTCAGAGCAAGCCTCCAGAAACGGGCCCCCATCATGAGTAGGAAGAGCAGCCTCTTGTTTCTTACCCACTTGATTTCAGATAAACTTTAAAAAATATTGTAGATAAGGTGCAGTAGCAATACCGTGTTTTTAATGGTGTGTGTAAAGAACAAACTTTTCTGGGAGCAGAAATGTTGTGACTGTCTCTCTCCCTTCCAGATTTTGGCACTTTTCATCTTTTCAAACTCATCTATGCAAAACCTTTCATTGTGGTAGTGTAAATCGCCATACGAATTCACAGGTGAACCCTCTGTACCTAACCGTGTCTATGCGAATCACTTGCCTCGAGAAAAGAGGGGTATTTC